TTGGCATTTTTATTTAATATTACATGATTTCTGTCCTTTTTAATGAGCAATAAATGCCTAGGCTCTTAATCGAGGAAATATTTTCAAAAATTAATGGTGCATAGTAATGATTAAAAAGTAATTTTGTTCCAGATTTTAAAGTACATGAACAGTACGGAATATAGAGTACATGTAATGAACCTTTATACCTTTAACATTACATGTATATATACATTTATGTTGCGACAAATGATCAGGTGTTTAAATGAAGCAAATATGCTGTATGTATGTACTGAATGTGTGTGTAATTGTAATCCTGTTTCAAATGTTTTTCTGATTCCTGATCATTCCTCCCTCTCTTCACTCCTCCATTATGATAGTTTGTTCATAATTGTGACAGTAGTGTCTCATGCATTACTGAGTAGTGTCATTTACAGGTGTCACATTTCACAGCAACACTGACTGTAGTATCACATGATCCAATGAGACATGCACTGAGAAATTCAATTAATGTCTTTATAGCCTGTCAGTAATGTTCATGATAGTAATGTATTGATAGTTTTTTAATCAGTTTATCTAAACCATCATCTACTCTTGACGTATGATATAAATTTTTATGATGTTACACTAGTAACACTACATTGTATCTTGTGATGAGGGTTCTGCCTAGAAAAAGATTAGAGGTGGTTGGAGACTAATAATATTCCTTTTAAATAAATGTATACCATACTAGTAGGGTAAAATATCATGATTTCTGTACATGTACATGTATGGTTATTAGTATTAATTCAATGGTTGGTCTAAGTAATTACCTGGTTGGTTTATTTGTTGATGTGGTCGTCCCAACCACCCTGACCACCATATAGGTAGAACGATGTCTTGTGATGCATGCTGTATTTCCTGAAAATAATGACCCTCATCAATAAACACCTGTTGCTAATAGATTGAAACTACAAAGATACATAACTTTCCCAGTATTATGTATGTTTGATTTTAAAGTGGCATAATCAGCTTAAGAATAATGCAATGGTTGAATTCCAAAGACTTGAGCTTGAGTTTTTGCTTTTTTAATTTTTGAATTTTTCTCTGTTAAGAAATAAATGCCTATAGAGGCTCTTATTCAAGGAAAGATTCACAAAAATTAATGATCAACACCATATAGTAATGATTATTTACTAACGAGGAAATTTGTCCCAGATTTTATTGTACAAGTAAATCAGAAATACAATGTACAGTCCTGTTTGATTTATGATTCTTGATCCTTCCTCCCTCTCTTCACTCCTCCATTATGATAGTTTGTTCATAATTGTGACAGTAGTGTCTCATGCATTACTGAGTAGTGTCATGTACAGGTGTCACAATTCACAGCAACACTGACTGTAGTATCACATGATCCAATGAGACATGCACTTAGAAATTCAAATCATATCTTCATATCCTGTCAGTGATGTTCATGCTAGTAATGTATTGATGGATTTTTAATCAGTTTATGATATAAAGGTTTTATCACTATCTGCATTGTGATGCATGTGGTATTTCCTCAAATAAGTGCCTCATCAAATAGATGCCTGTCACTAATAGACTAAAACTCTTGATACACATATTTTAGCCAGTATCATGTAACTCTGTTTTTTAGTTGGTATTAGCAGCCCAACTGTTAATCTGCAACCTCATATCCTAATGTTGTGGGATTCAATTCAAGTTTTAGTATTTTTTATTTAATTATACATGATTTTTGTCCTCTGTAATGAGCAATAAATTCCTTAATGGAGGAAATATTTACAAAAATAAACGATGTATAGCAATGATTAACAAGTAATTTTGTTCCAGATTTTATGGTACATGTACATTATGGAAATATAGAGTACATGTAATGAATCTTTATACCTTTAAAATTACATGTACATGTACATTTATATTACAACAAATGATCAGGTGTTTAAATGAAGCAAATATGCTGTATGTATGTACTGAATGTGTGTGTAATTGTAATCCTGTTTCAAATGTTTTTCTGATTCCTGATCATTCCTCTCTCTCTTCACTCCTCCATTATGATAGTTTGTTCATAATTGTGACAGTAGTGTCTCATGCATTACTGAGTAGTGTCATGTACAGGTGTCACAATTCACAGCAACACTGACTGTAGTATCACATGATCCAATGAGACATGCACTGAAAAATTCAATCAATATCTTTATAGCCTGTCAGTGATGTTCATGATAGTAATGTATTGATAGTTTTCTAATCACTTTATGATATAGTTTTCATGATGTTATTATTACTACAATGTACATGTACATCTGTGTATCTTTGACTTGCATACATTTCCTTGTGTGTACCTGTTTTATTATTATTATCTGAAAAATTAATAATAATGTGTAATAAGTATCAATATGGAATTTTCCCCCAGATTTTAGCACATACATGTACATGTACATGTATACTTGTTCTGTGTTCATATAAAACACTTGTACTGCTTGTATTATGTCTTTCCACTAGTATACATGTACATGTACCTTATCTTCTGAAAAACACCATTAACAATGTTAGTACTTTATATAATGATTGTATAGTGTACAGTGTATATATATATCATTATTACTAATATCAGTAGGTGATATTGATTGATTGTTATAGTCCTGTGTATTAGTCAATGAATAATGTATCTCATTTATTGTATGTACAGATACATAATCATTATATGATGTACAGTTGTATTGTGTATGTGATATATCTATCCTCAACTCATCAAGGGAATTGTCAGTAATTGATTCCATTGACAGTATGTATAGTCAGTAGTGGGAGTATACTAATAGAACAATATCAATGAGTAAATATCTTTACATAAAAGGACTTGTAATGAGTACAAATTTCCACTTGATTTGATTCATTCCTTATTAGTCTCACATAGCCAGTCCCTCCCACTACAAAGCAAAGGTCTGGTCTATTACCATACATTACCTCATTCATCTTTCAACCTTACTTCTGGTGGAACCAACTACACTAAACATTGAATAACCTCATGTGTATATTATGAAGATTGAAACCTCCTTTTTGGGCCAGGATTAATTATACTAAGCATAATTGAATTTCCTGAAATTTAATTATTTACAAATTGTGTTAGATGATGCATGAAATCCACTAAATTAGGAATACCAGTAAACATTAGTCCAGTGTATTGTAGATAGTATTATGTGTTATCATAACAATGTCAGTAATGGGACCCTCATCTAGTAGTGCAGTAGTTTGTATCACTTCCACTGGGTATTTATGTAATATTGTCACTAGGTGTTCCTCCTCCTACTACCCTAGTCCTAGTCCTACTTATGTGTCCAGTCATAGATACTCAATGATTTAATGTATACTAATACACCAGACACACTCTTTGTAGAGGGAGGGACACTCTCTTTCCTTATAAGGATATACATGTACATGTACTGTATTGCAGGATTTATTGGTGAGGGATTAAATTTGTCAAGTCCTTAAATTACAAGAATACTCCAAATTGAAACTCACAAATTATTGTCAATTATTAGCTGAAACGTGTTAGGAGTTAATGAAGTAGCCAAAATTTAATTGGCCAACCTATCAATTTAGACAATTTCTTCAAAATTCCTCTCTGTCAATAAATACTCTCATATGTTATACAAGTACATGTAAATGAATGGCTCAGTTGTTTGCGTATTTTATCATTAAAAGTTGTTTTTATATGTACATGTATTGTTTATGTGTTGTTTATGGTCCGTTATTGTCTCTGGTTACATATTCTGTGGATTTTGTGTTTGAATGAGATTATGTGATAATGAGACATAGGAGTGATTAATAATTATTACTATTATAATAACTGTTAATAATACACTCATTCACTTGTTAATACTGTAGGACTGGCAGTTGTATAATGCTGCTAAGGATGGAGATATAGAAAGAATGAGAACTGCCCTCTCTAATGGGGCAGATATCAATTGGAGGAATCCTCGTACGGTAAGTGTATGATGTAGTGACTAGCGTATTAGTATGACTTGTATAATGTAAAAGTACCTGCAGTTTAGTTATAAATCAGTTTATTATATTAATATTGTGTAATTACCGTATTTCCTCATGGAAGCACCTAGGCATTTATTCTTATAGAGACCCATTTGCTGGGTGTTTTAATGAAGTAGGTGTTTATATGAGGATAGACCTTTAAATTCATTGCCGAGGAGTCTTCTTCTATGAGCTTCCTTCTCAGCTACAACTGCTATATTGCCTGTAGTGTGTGCCAGTAACCACGTGGGCAAAGTGGGTGTGGCATAGGCATCTAAACAAGCATGGGCATTTATTGTCAATGTTTTATGCTGTCTCCAGGAGTTTATACAGGTACGGGCATTTATTGGGAGTAGGTGTTTCCATGAAGAAATACGGTATGTTCCTCAAACACAGTATCCTGTTGATGACACTCATAGTCCCTTCTTTCTGGTGGTGTGTGTTTATTCAAGGATCAGTCCTTATTATCTTTATTGCATTTTATGAGGAAACAATGTATTTTATAGAATTGTATAATAATGGTGTAATAAAATTGATTTTATTTATCATTTTGTATGTACTTTATTTGTTGTGTTTATTTCTTATAGCTAAACAGGACTTCATTACATGAAGCAGCATTCAATAACAGGAGTGATGCTGTCCAGTGGTTACTCAGTAAAGGGGCTGGTATTGACTCAAGGGCTAGTATGAGTTGTATATTGAATGATACACACATTATTACAACATGATGTAATGTAGTACATGCTAGTTGATAATAAACCAGTTCCAATACATGTTTTTCTTTATATTTATTTGTGTGATATTCCAATTTTGTTTATGTATTAGTTTACCTTGCACGTTGTAATTTTTAATGTGATAAAATTTTGTTGTACACATTTTTGTGAGGAGTATACTGTGCCATCATGAATTACATGTATAGTACATGTATTTGAATTATGTGTAAACATGTACATAATACATGTACAAGTAGTATGATCTTTTGATATTTGTGTATAATTACTTTTAGTTTAGAGTGTGTTTTATTTATTTTATTAATGTAGAAATTCCACAATACATGTGTACAATACATTACATTACAATACATTGGCCACACATTTTATTACAAATTTGATGTTTTGTTGCCAGTTTGAATCTTTACCATAAAGTGCAATGTAGCTTAATTACCGTATGGTTACAAATAATTTTAATGATTTTGTGAAAATATTAAATTTACTAGTAAAATCTCTCTCTCTATAATTTTTTTTCTCTCTGTCTCTGTCTGTCTGTCTGTCTGTCTGTCTCCCTCCATCCGTCCGTCTGTC